ACCCGCTCGGAGGGAGCCGGGGAGACAACTGGCTTGGGGGAGGCTCCCCAGGCCTGGAAGGCCAGGTGAGAGTTGGCCGGATATGGAGGGGGATGGGTGCTCCGCGGGGGGACAGAGAGCGGACTGAGGGCACCAGGAAGGTGTGATTGTGGAGTTCAGGGTGGCACATGGCGTCAGCTCGTGACGATGACCCTGGCGGCCGTGACTGGTGGGTCGCGGTGGCACGGTGCCCGGTGCCGCTCGCCTTCCCCAGCAAAGTCGGGGAACTGTCGCTGCCACCTGCGGGGGCAAGCTCCGGCCGCACGCCTGGGCACCGCCCCGCCCCTGCGGCCACCCGTCCGAGGACTCGGGGACACTCTCTCCTTTGCAGGACCACCTGCCCGGCGGGTACACTCGCGACACGCTGGCTCCGAAAAGGAGCGCGGCGGTCTACCCAGGAGGCAGCGGTCTCCTCTCAAAAGCCCAGAAAGAGGGCCTGGTTGAGGCCGAGGGATGAGCAATGCGGGCTGATGGCGGCCAGCGCTGCCCCACAGAACAGGCCGCGTGTTCCGTCTTAAACCCTCCCGCTGCCACATTGGAAAAGTACAAGGAAAACAGAGGAGAGGAATTTTTCGTGTATTTTCACTCAACGCGATCCACCAAAACATTACTGTTTCAACACGTAACCCGTGAGCTTTCCCCACCCCGAGCCCCTGAAACCCGGAACGCGCTTCCCTGCACGGACAGCACACCTCGACCGGACCGACCGTGTCCCGACGGCTCCGTGGCCAAGGCTGACCGGGGCGGCTGCCGCGGACGGTGCGGCTCTCGACCGAGAACTTCAAAGGGGCCGCAGATGAACGACCGAGCTGCAGAGCTAGAACTCTGCGGGCTTCGCAGAAGAGGAAGAGTGGGCAGAAGAGGGCACAACTGGACGGAACCCCGGATGCCTGGGGTTGGAGCCTTTAACGTGAAGTAAGGCCACAGTGAGTCAAAGGCTTTCGGGAAGGACGCTGCAGAGAGGACGCGGGGCGAACGAGACTGTAGAGCGAGCCTTCCAGATCAGTTAGGAGCCAGCCTGCCAGCATCTCCTCTGGGGAAAAGCTGGAGCGGGGAGCGAAGGGCACGTCTCTGAGCACATGCGTTCACAACTCCCGACATCAACCCCGGTGGGAGGAGGGCCGAGGGGCAGGTCTAGGTGCCGCGAGGTTAAATCCTGCTCTCGGCGGCACTCAGCTGGTGGGCGGGCAAGTCCGTGTTGGGGCCAGGCTCCCCGAACACCAACACCACGCGCTTTCCACACCACTGCCCTGGGGTCACGCAGACGCCAAGGACTAGATAAGGCTGGAGCTCGGCATTCAAACCCAACACCAAGCCATCTCGGGGTGTAAAGCGATTATCTCCGCCCCACGATGGGGGGCCCAGGAGGTGCGAGCTAGAGATAGGGGGGAAATAAATTCTGGACGCCACAAGCTGATCGCGCCCATCAAGCCGGGGTTGACTGCAAAGGGCCAGCCTGAGAGGGGCCCACCCCAGCCA